TGGTAGTCATTAAATAGTCAGGTTTAGAAGGCACAGGAGTGTGAGGCTGTCTACTTCTAGCAACCAAGAAAATATTCTAAGATAGTTCATTTGTGACAGGTTTCAATACATTTTTGGGGAAAACTGGTGACCTGTATAGTGTACAGTTGTTTAATCTCTAGCTGTTTAAATCTGAAGCCATTTGGCCCTCTCCACAATCAATCAATCTCTCTCTCTCTCTCTCTCTCTCTCTCTCTCTCTCTCTCTCTCTCTCTCTCTCTTTCAATCATCTATCTAAACTGTTTCAAAGTTAGTTTCAGACATCAGGTGACTGCACCCTAAAAATTTCAACGTGTTGCTCTTAAAAATGACACCATCCTATATAACCACAATGCCATTACCATAGGCAAGAAATTAACACTGATGTACTATCTAATATAGAGTTCATATTGAAATTTCTCTAACCTTGACCCAAATGCTTTATAGTTTTTTTGATCCCGAATCCAATCAAGACTCCTGCTTTGCATTTGAATGGCATGTTACTTTAATTTCCTTTAATCTAGAACAGTGTCTTCTAACACTGACTTTTTTGAAGAATTTAAAGCAATTTGTCTTGAAGAATGTCACATTATCTGGATTTGTCTATGTCCTAAAGATTGGATTCAAGTTAATATTTTAGCAAGACTATTACATAGGTATGTTGTACGCTTCCTATTATATCATATCAGCTGGGAAATGTCAATTTGTTCCATTATTGGTGATGCTAAATTTTATCATTTGAATAAAGAAGGTTTCCTCCAGACCTCTTCGTTTATAAAGGTACTGTATCTTTTCTGTACTTAAGTAATCTGTAAGATGATCTTTTGATATCCTTCGGATACTTTTAAGCATATCATAACTACAGTTCTTTAATCACAAAAACAACAAAAAAACAAACAAAAAACAACAACTACAGCAAAAGCTGTTAAAAATGATGAGAAGCTCTATAAAGAAAACAAACAAAAAACCAAAAATATATTCAAGAATCATTTCACTTAAGTAATGAATAAAAAGCAACATGACCACAGGAGAACCTACTCTGTTTTATTTATATTTTCTTTGACAATAAAGCACTTAATGACCTTCAGCAAATCAGCTACAGTATCACTAAAAATCCCAGCATTAAATAGGGAAAATGATGGAAAAAGACAGTAGGATGAGGTAGGGTAGGGGTTGATCATTTAAGAGAGTGGATTTCTTTTAGGGTGGTGCTTGGCCATGTTGTTTTCAGCCCAGAATGAAACTCAGGTAAAATTTGGATAGGGAACAAGAGAAGACTGTTATCCATCTCTCTTGGGTGAGGCCCTCCTGCTCCAAACACCCTGATATGTAGCCCTCCTTCCCTCATCTCCAGGCAGGCTAATGGATTCTGTCTTCTATTGTCACATAGGCCTCAGGCAGACAAAACAGCGCAGATATCTACACTGACATCCCTTCCATGTCTGCCTCTCTCCTGTCCTGCCATCCCTAACACTTAGCCCAGTTGGCAGGCAGAAAGAATGAGCTCGGGAAATGTTTAATGTTGAGAGTCGAAGGATAAACAATAATTCTGTTAACCCATTCTTTGCATCCTGATTTTACCTAGCCAGTAAGAGGGAGAGCTGGCAGTCAAACCAAGGCATTTTGGCTTTGGTGCTCACATTCTATCCACTAGTGATAGAACGTTCCTATTGCATTTGATCTCAAAGTGCAAGAGCTCATCATGTCAAACAACATCCCTAGCCTTTAGTCAGGCATTCAAAGTCTTCTCCACACTGGTCCCAATTTAATTCTCAGATCTGATTTCCCAATCTGCTTTCCTTCCCACATGGGAGCGTCACTCCAATGATTGTATTCCCTATATGTTAAAATTCCACTCATCAGAAATGATATCACTTGTCTGCTGTTGTCCTACTTGCAAATCTTTATTCACATTATTTAAAGACTTAACTCAAAGGCGAACTACTCCACAAACACTTCTACATCTTGCCTTGGGATGTCCTCTCTCCTTTTTCTGAATTCTCAAAGAACTTTAAGTCACTTGTCACTTTCTGTTTAGTGTATAATTAAACATGATAACTCTGTACACATTGCCTATTATATTACAAGCTCCTTCAAAGATAAGGCCTATGTCTGCCTATCTCCACAGGCCTCCAGCACCTAGCAGAGTAGCCTGCATATAATAGGCACTTGGTGAATATTTTCCACATAAAGTAAATTTTCCTTGAATAATCCTGGCCTCAACTCTCTATCTACTTTGAAGAGAATATCCTTCCCTTATTTTCCATCTGTCCAAAGCTGATCTCCATAAAGCCTTTCTAAATATCCAACCTAAACTTTTGGAGGTGTCAGGTATGTGTATTACCTAGATTGTGGTAATGGCATTACAAGTATATACACACATCCAAACCCACCAAATTGTAGACAGTGATTAAGTGCAGTTTTCTTGTATTCCGCAATAAAGCTGGGGAAATAGCTTTCAGAAGAAAAAAAAAATGTATAGACCAAGAATCTGGATTCTAATTCAGTCTTATAATTTATTAGCTGTTGATATGGGGAAGATTATTTAACAATTATGTGCCTCAATTTGCTAATCTGAAAATAATACTAGCAGTTACTTCACAGGGAGATATAGATATATAGATATATTATTAATTATTAATAGATATATTAATATTTGTAAGAATGAAATAAGTTAATTCCTATCAAGTACATAAAATAGTGCTGCCATATTGTAAATATTCAATAAAAGTTAATCACTATTCCACATTCTTTCTCATGGTTTGTAATCCTCATTTGGCAATGATTATTTACCAATGATTATTATTAGTGACATATGTTCTATTTTTAGTAGGAACTAAATTTAAGTCAAGTATTATTAATAGATTTTTGATGGGCATATCTTACCTTTTTTTTTTTAATAATGTATGGGATAACTTTGATTATTGAGCATATTCTACATGCCAGGAAATTGGATAAGTGCTTTCTATAAATATTTCATTCAATACTCACATTAACAATATAGGCTAGCTATTATTGTCATATTATAAGTAAAGCAAAACAAAAACAAAGATTCAGAGAGAATAAGCATTTTGTTCATGTTGTCTAAGACAGTAAGAAGTAGAGCTAGGATGATTCTTGAAGGCAAAGATAATATTTAATTTATATGCATTTCCCAGAATGTTTAATACATGCTCATTAAATAATATTCTTTATTGCAATGTATTTTTTGTTATAATATTTGAAGCATATATACTTGGTATGTTAACTTTTCATTTTTAATATACCTTAATACAGATAACTTCTTTTTCACTTTTAACATGGTTTTTTTTTCAGTTTATCTTAGAATATAAACTTTTCTCCCACATGCTATACTTTTCATACATTTTAATATAATAGACTGTTTTTAACCATGCTCCATACGTTTGTGCTAATCTCTATCAACTTCTGTAGCTTTTAGCTTTATTATATTTCATTAGATTGATGCTGTTTCTACATGATCTTACATAGTATTGAAAGAAATGCTAGAGAACATTTTTTCTATACCTTTGATTTACCAAAGTGGGAAATGGGGGCTCAGGCAGATGGGAAACATGTCAATATTGCTTAGCCAGCAAAAGGCAGGGGGACAGAACCGGAATTCTTCATTCTCACTATTGTGCTCTTTTAGCCTAGCTACACTGCCTCTAGCATACAAGTACAAATAAATGTCATGTTTTATATATCCTAACTCAGTCCACCCACGGCATGGCTTTGGACCAGTGCCCTCAGTTTACCTGTCATTACATATTCCCAAATAGGAAGCAAGTAGGAAGACAAGAAGATAGGAAATATGTGAAAAAGTAACATCCCCGTGCAATTTTCTACCTTTTTGCCTTTGCTTTCAGTGCCCACAAATGTAATATCCTTTCTCTACATGTCCTTAAAATAGTACTACTCAAAACGTGGTCCATGGATGGGTGTCTTACTAAGAAATGTTTATCACCCTGTGATGAGACAAGTACAGAAATACAATATGAGTATTTAGAAAATATTACAGCAATTTAATAGAGTAATTTATTCTCATTAAATCTAATAATAGTAAAACTTGGTCTTCCATTTTGTATTGTTTTTATTCCATTTTCTTAGTAACTGATTTTTAATTGTACTGTATAAAAATATCGGTCTCCAACAGATTGGGAGGGAATCTTTCATAACAAAAATCTTGAGAGGCAGTGTTTTAAAGGGTGTAGATTCAAGTGCCACCAATTATTCTATAAAGCATTTCTTATGTTCCTGATAGAGCTTTTAAATTTTATAACATTCGACTTAAGCAAGCCTATTTCATGCCTCTAATAATAGTTTTTGTTTTTGTTTTTTTTACCTAGACTAGTAACTATTTGTGTGTTCCTCTTACTTATCTCTTCTGAATAATTACAACCTCCCTGAGGATAAGTTATGTATCCATAACAGCTCATAATTGGCATATAACTCACAAATTCACATTACATTAATGACTGGATGGATTAACTATTCATACTTATTCACAGGTTTGGAGAGACATTAAAAACAAAACAAAACAAAATGAAACAAAACAAAAAACAGTACAAAAGGAATATCTTTTCCCTGAACTTGTATAGGGAAAGGATTGAGAGTACAGAGTTTAGACGCTACCCAATTCTACCTTTTGTATACTAATAGTTAGACCTGAACACACACAAAAGTCCTATTGCTGCCTAATAAGAAGTTAATCAATTGTCAACAATTGTGTTTTAAATCAAATTCGTGTCTCAAGAAACTCTGCAAGAACCCTGAGATTTTAGTACAAACTAAACAGATACCACACGCATGGGAGTCTCTCACAAAGCAATTTCCAGAACACTCAGTTGTGTGCGCATGAATACCAACTCCAGTGCATCCGGACTCAAATTCTTTCCCAGTGGAGCTGATACTACTCCTTATTACTAATTAAGAAAAACAGGACAGGACATTTCCTTCAGAAACCAGCTCTAGAGCCCACTCACCAAAGTATTCATCAGCAGGTGGATTTTCCATGTCATACAGCATCTTCTTGGTCAGGTGCTCCAGCTCATCTTCCGGGCGGAAAGAGGGGGTAACAGCTGGGGGCCCCTTTGAGCCTGTTTGTCCACCCTGCAAGACAGAAAGCACAGAGCCCTTTACATGCAGTCCAGACATCATGGAGGCAGTCATGTTGTGTGTACTGCAGAGGAGGAAGCACTGGATGCGGCTATTAGGAGCCCTGGGTTTCAGAGCCCACTTCATCAGTCATTCAGTGCATGACCATGGACACAGCACTTTATTCATTGCCTTATCTACAAGAGTCCTCTACTATCAGGCGTTAGGAATCCCTGTTTACAACAGGAGGACTCTACTTCATTTAACAATTGCTAGGAGTCACTATGTATCCATTGTATATTAATTAAAAAGATGAATACATTGAACCTCCCTCTTATTGAGTTCTTAGATGTGAAAATCCAGGAAAGTACAAATCCCTGTACCAATGTTTCATTTTTACTACCAACATTTATTTCAAAAACTCCAAGGCGGATATTAGTTATTTTTGTGAAATCTCAGGAAATGCCTTCTAAACATACGTAAAATTAACTGGTACCTATTCGGCCTTTCTCTATAATTATCTTCCACTTTTAGGTTTTTAAAACTGTACAAAAAGTTGGAGGACAGATGTGCAGAAGGATGAAGAGGCCCAGAAATGTTTATGTTGCTCACCAACCTTATACCTGGGATTTTATTTCACTGATAGACAATTTGGATTGGGGATTCAAAGCTCTGAACGCTATGGAATGTGCCATGCAACTGATATAAAATATCGAGCTGCCTGCTGGGATCCGAAGAATCATTACCTCAATCTACTCAATATGACATAAGAAAATCAGGGCATGGCTGGTTATGATAAAGCCAGGACATCTTAGACTCACTCGTTTTCAATAAACATTAAATGTTAAATTTGGAGACTCGTCTAAAATGCAAATAATGCCTGCCTTATAGAGTTGGTGTGAGGGTTAAAGATGCTGTCAACTCATTCATTTACTCTTTTGCTTATTAGTTTATTCACTCATTCTTACAGTGTCTGTTTCGTATACCCTCTGCAAGCATCAGGGAGGGACAAAAAGATATATTATACAGTCTTTGCCTTTGAGAGAATTGGAGTCTAGTAGGGGTGAGAAACATGTATAAATGATCAATTATTTAAAAATATATTGTATTGGTGGGAGTAAATATAGATATGGACACTGGAAGAGTGATTTTCTAGGATGATTAAACTTTAAATTGCACATGCTATCCAATTCTAGGAAATTTTTACAGATACTCATACAAAGACATAAATTTATATGACCAAGGCTGGACACAGGAATTATATGTGAAAGAAAGAAAAAGAATGTAATTATCCATCTATTGCTAAGAGATCACCTAAATAGACAATGATAGATATATACAGTGGAATACGAACAGACTTTAAAATAATATATTGTAAATCTGTATGTAAGAGTATGAAAAGATGACCTAGCCATGCTATCGAATGAACAGATCCACTAATAGAATATCTAAATGATGGTCTCATTTTTGTAAAATAAGTGCAGTTTAATGTCTACAAATCTATACATAGTTAGGAAAAAAAAAAAAAAGCCTGAAAGGACATATACGCAAATGTTTTAAGGGGATTATCTCTGGGGTTGGAATCTTGGTTGGGGGGGAGGAGGGCTCTCATTTATAAAGTTTATGTTTCTTTATTTTATAGTATGTAACTGTACTTCTGCAATCCATGAAATATAACTTTTTAATACGATGCATCAAATGATAAAGATATGCCGGATACTAACAAAACCCTGGAATAGGCTTCTAACCTAGATCAAGTGGAGAACTCTGAGGAGCAAAAGTTCAGAGGTCAGAGGCAATCTAGTGTGAATGGGGAAAGCTGCAAATGAATGGTTTAGTGTTTAAGAGTGCAGGGGGAAAGAGAGAAAGAGTCAGGTATTAACTTCCATGCTATACTGAGGAGCTTAGGGCTTCTGCAGAGGCCAGGGCTCTAGGCCTGTGAGAGACCATGGACAACTCTGAAAATCTGATTAGCTAAACTCTCTTTGGTGAAAACTGCTATCCATAAAGATGCACATACAATTCAGTTTAATGTCAGGAATTTCGTAGTCCACGGGGAACCTCTTTAAAGACCCTCAGGTAGGAGCACCCAGGCAACAGAAACTGCAGCAGGGCAGGAAGCTAATCAGATTCAGAAGTTGTCTCTGGAGTGGAGGGTGGATGGGGGTGCTGTGAGATGGAGTGAGATGAGGAGTCGATCATAATATATCTGTGGCCAGAGCTAAGTGAAGGGATAAACCATGTGGCAGTGGCGTTAAGGCTGAAGACAGGGATTAACTACAACACAAACCTGATGTCCTTAGGTGAGAGCCTGAACCTTTTATAACTTCAGATTCCCGTCTGTAAAATGGGCGTGCTAATGTTAACTCACAGTCTGTGTGAGAGTTAAAATGAGACAGCTTGCATTTCATGCCATGCACAGCTTAACTATTTTCAAACCATGGTAACAGAGACTCTCTTCGGATTCCCCAACCTGCCTTTGCAGAAGGGGATTATCCCAGTTCAGGTGATAAACAAAGATGAATGAGGATGAGAAAATGACCTACATTTTGTTTTCCAGACTTGCCATAATGAGACAAATTGAGCCCCAAATGTGATATCACTTGACTACAAATTGCATGCATTTTTTTCCACCCAAGCATTGCTTCCCATAGAGAAAATGCTAGAAAAGTATGAACCATTACCTCTAATATTAATGGTTCTGGCTGTTTTAATTTCAATTGACAGCTATTTTAAAGCAAACAGAAAAAACAACAACAACAACAACAACAAAAAAAAACAACAACAACAACCCTGCTTTCTAGCCTAGGGTGGATTCTCAGTGAGTGGACACATTTTATTGTTATCTGGGCCTAATATCTGCTTTCCTTTTAACCTAAATAAAGGAAGCAAGAAGACTAAGTCTGTCCTCTATAAATCTAAGCCAGCAATTCAGATTCTACCCATAGCTCTTATATTTCAAGTAGAGCTCTGATTTCAGAGTTCTTACCTTGTCAGTAACTCACAGATTTTAAGAAAAATACATAATTTATTTCATTCTTCAAAGACTCCTTCCTAGTTGCTTGCAATACTCTTTCTGAAATAACATGTTTGGGAAAGCTCTTTTCTTTTCGAGTCTAATCTCATAATGCTGTTCTTGGATTCCTGGTATTTCTTATGGGGAAAGGTGCTAAGAGATCTTCTCTTCCAGTGTTTCTGAACCTTACTTGGGCTACGGAACTCCCCTCGATCTCACACCCCCCTCCAACCTCCGACAGTGCAAAATAGTTAACATCCATGGAATACAGATTCATAAAAACACAGGTTCCTCAGTTTCCAGTTTTTTCTCACACCAAAGGAGAGATGGTGCTGTGTTTCTTTGGGATTCAAGTCCCGTAAACAGTAGTTTAGTATTTTTCTCATTGGGACGAAGAGACCCCTTTTAATTTCTCTTTCTCAGTAGTGCTTAGGACTCAACACGTTCTAAGAAAAATTAATAACTGTGTCCAATTAATTTTTTAGTAAGTAGCTTCTATCATTGCAACTGGATAATAGAACATAATTGAAAGTGTGTGTGGTGGTGGGCAGGGGGGAGATGGGTTGCATTATTTTGTTTTTTACTTCTTCAAAAGTAGAAAGGTGAATAGATCAGCAGTATATCCATCGTAGCATAATGATAATTCCTCATATTTGTGTGCTCCTTTTTCAAGGTGCCTGCCTTCACATACATGTAATCTCATGTGTTTATACCACAGCCCCATAAGATCTGTAGCCCTGTTTTATGAATGAAGGAATTGAGGCTCAGGGAAGATAAGTGGGCAATCCTGTGTGAAGAACCACCCCTGAAAAATGGCCGAGCCCTGGCTGAAACCGCGTGTGCTGAGTTGGGCGACCTGCTACACTGCAATGTCTCTAAGGATTCCCATATCATCATTTCCAGGCTCTTCGAGCTCTATTATTCTGTAATACCTTGGATTTTTATCTACTGACTCTATTATCTAAATAAAGATATTTTCAGAGTGGAGGTTTACTACTAAATAATGAAATAAAAGCACTTCAAAACAAATATAAACAAAGCCTCTAGGCTTTTCTAAGAAAAAGACATTCTTATAAGTATCAATATTAATCACTAATGTGTGTGTTCTTTGAAATGCCTGAACCTCCTAGCAAAGGCAAAAATACATCACATTACCCACAGATGCGTTTTTGAGAAATAGATTTCAGAGGACTCCTTCAAAATTCTCTTAATATACCGTTTGTAAGAAATTGCCAAGTGCCAAGAAGTATCATTTTAAAGTCAAATTATTCAGGATTCCTGCCTCTGACAACTCACAGGTTAAGAAAAAAGAGACGTGAAAATAAATAATTATAATAAAGTGCAAGTACTAAAACACAGATATGAATTTGGTGTTCTGAGATAGGAGAAAGATGCCAGGTAGGAAATGCCCCTTAGTTTGATCGTGAAGGTTAAATTGGATTTCAGCAAATATTAAAATGGAAGGAAAGAAGGAAGGAAGGAAGGAAGGAAGAAAGGGAAGGAGGGAGGGAAAAGAAAAAAAAAAGACAGAAAAAAAGTAAAGACATTCCAAGAATGGTATGTATGAAAGAACATGCATATCAGGAAAAATGTTAAGAAACAGAACTAGGGAGAGCCTAGAGAAATGGGTTGAGGTCAGTTTTTGTCAAGGCTTGCTTTAGTAATAGAGGATCATTAGAAAATTTAAAAATGAGGACTGACTTTATTAAAGTCATGCTTTTGAAATATGCATATTAGCAAACATCTCAAACACCAACATCAATGATGCCTTGAAAAATGCAACCAGAGACAATGGTCTTTCTAATGGCTATATAAATGGCTAATATGCTTAAAAAGGATTCTGATATTTATTTACTCAGTGAGTCAGAGACTGCTAACTGCTCACCCAAATCTGTGTTCTGTTCTTCCTGAGCACACAGCTAGACTACATTTTCCATTCTCTCCTGTATAATAGTTAGATGTAGCCATGTGTGGTACACATATGTCCTCTCTGTGGAGG